GGTCTTGGGCTCTCTTAAAGCGTTCTTGGGCCATCTTGGCGCCCTCTTGCCCCCCTTTGACGTTGTTTGGCGCCCCCCGCCGAGCCCGAAACGGCCAGAAGATAGATCAGTGCACTTTGGGGTGCCCGGGACCCCCTATCCATTATATAAGAGAGAGAGAGAGAGTATATATATATATAGAGAGAGAGAGAGAGAGAGAGAGAGAGAGAGAAACAAATAATAATAATAATAATAATAAACAAAAACATCGCGCGCGCTTCGCGCGCGCTCAAGATCTAGCTAGGCTTGATCGGCCAAATAATGTAATCTCATTTTGGTCGCTTCCTGCGTCCAGGGACTCCCTTGGAGGCCCTGCGCAAGCCTCGGAATCGTATAGAAGGGAAATGCGGAAACGCAGAAATCATTAATTCATTTCCTTTCGGTATTCAACGATCTGGGGCCCTCAAATGCTTCCTGGGTTTTTTGGGGGAGGTGACGGGGTCTGAATTGTGGTGTGTTGTGCGAGAGTAGACCGGGGGCCAAACTTGAAAAACAAGAAAAAGGAATTGTGGGATGTCCATTTTTTCCAGTTCCTCGGCGTCGTTCGGCGCTGTGTTTTGTTTGTGCCTCGTGGGTTTTGTTAGCCCGGCTCCTCAGGGGTGTTGGTTCTTCCGGACCCCCTGGGGGTTCTGGAGGCCTCCTGTAGGCCTGGAGAGCCGTGTCTCGGGCTGCGCGGGAGCGTGTTGGGCCGTTCTTTACGCTCTGGGGACTCCTTAGGGTCGTCTTGGGCTGTCTTTGGGCGTCTTGGGGGTCCCACGGGAAGCCGGGAGGCGCGGTACTGACCAAATGTCAGGGGATGTGCGGGATCTCCGAGTCAGAGTCCCACTATATATATATTGGAGAAAACAAAAACAAAAAAAAGAGAGAGAGAGAGAGAGAGATATAACAAAAACAAAAAAACACAAAAAACTGGAATTCTGGGCATTCCCTTTTTTCCAAACCCTCCTTGTGTTGGGTACTCGTTTTGAATAGAGCACTGTGGTATCCACCTCCCGCCCTCTCCTCCTTCTTCTCTCCTGTGTTCGCGGTGCCCTGCTGGGCTGCGATATGCGCAACTGTCGCCACTTTCGTGGGCTCCTGGGAGGCCCAGCGGAGGTACGTCCTACGCGGACCACTTTGAGGCCTCCCTGTCCCCTGCGGGGCTGCGATCTGCGCAACTGTCGCCACTTTCGTGGGTTCCTGGGAGGCCCAGCGGAGGTACGTCCTACGCGGACCACTTTGAGGCCTCCCTGTCCCCTGCGGGGCTGCGATCTGGCAACTGTCGCCACTTTCGTAAGTTCCTGGGAGGCCCAGCAGAGGTACGTCCTACGCGGACCACTTTGAGGCCTCCCTGTCCCCTGCGGGCGCACTTGTCGCACCTGTCGCACCTGGCGCCCCCTGGCGCAGTGGACGCCCAAAAGGCAAACACGCCCAAAATATCAGTTTCCCCGAAGGAAATCTACGATTTTTGCTGATTGGGATCCCCGATCCTCATCGTTCGCACGCCATGTTCCGGAGGAGCGTTCCTGGAGCACGGGGCGCCAGAGGCCCCCCCGCTCTCCCCCCCTCCCTGACTATCCTGCCGAGGAACTCTTGGGTTGCGCAAGGCCGGTCTCGCGGGCTCCCTGGGGCTTCCCGGGCCCGCCCAGGGCTGTTTGGGAACGGACCTGGAGGCGCGCTGGGCCCCATTGGAGCGTCGGAAAGCCGAACAGACAAGAAGGCCAAGATCCTCCAATTCCTGAGTCAAACGAACGATTTTGGCCTGTTGGGACCCTCTTGGGGGGTGCTCCTGGAAGCGTCCTGAGCCATGTTTGAAGCCTCTTGGGAGCTATCTGAAGCCCCCTGGGGCTCTCTTGAAGCGGAAGCCCTGGGTTTTCCGAGCGCGGTCCGTCTCTTGGACACCTTTCGGGCCTGTTTGGGGCCCTCGTGGGCGGCCCTGGGCGCTTCTTGGGCCAGCCTTGGGCCCTCTGGGACCGCCTCGGGGCGGCCTTGGGCGCTTCTGGAGCTGTTTGGGAGCGGTCTCGGAGGTCTCCTGGGCCGCCTAGGAGCGTCGGACAGCCGCCGAGATCAGAAGGCCAACCCTCCAAGACTATTGAAAAAATCAATGTTTGGCCTGCTGGGGCCCTCGTGGGAGTGCTTTTGGAAGCGTTTGGAGCCATGTTGGAGGACTCTTGGGGGCCGCCCGGGGCCTCCCGGGTCACGCAGGGAAGGGGGCAGGGGGAAAAAGGCCAGAGAGCGCTGAAGGATACAAATACTGGAACCCTCTTGTGATTTTGTGGGGGGCCTCGTCCCGTCGCTCGCTGGGAGTTTGACGTAGCTTCTCGGGAGCCTCTGAACCTGTCGGGGGCCTCCTGGAAGCAGGTTCGAAGCATTTTGGGGGCCGATTTGGGGCTTCTCGGGGCCTCCTTTGGGCCTCTTGGGGGTCTCCTGGGGCCTCTTGAGGGGCCTCCTGGGGGCCTCCTGGCGGCCTCTTGGGGCGGAAGGCTCGAGCTTGCGGTTCGTGGTCCCCCTCTGGGCCCCCTCTTGGGCCCGTCTTGGGGCCCTCTTGGGCCATCTTGGGCGCCTCTTGGGCCGTCTTGGGGCCCTCTTGGGCTGTCCTGGGGCCCTCTTGGAAGCTTCTTGGGCCGTCTTGGGGCGGTCTTGGGCGCCTCTTGGGCCGTCCTGTAACGTCGGAAAGCCCAAAAGACAACTTTGTTGAAAATGTACGTTTTACGAAGGGAATGGGCCAATTTTTGCGTCTAGGGGCCCTCTTGGGACGCATGTTGGAGGCTTCTTGGGGCCTCTTGGGGGCGTCCTTGGACGTCTGGGGTCTCCTGGGGCCTCTTGAGGGGCCTCCTGGGGGCCTCCTGGCGGCCTCTTGGGGCGGAAGGCTCGAGCTTGCGGTTCGTGGTCCCCCTCTGGGCCCCCTCTTGGGCCCGTCTTGGGGCCCTCTTGGGCCATCTTGGGCGCCTCTTGGGCCGTCTTGGGGCCCTCTTGGGCTGTCCTGGGGCCCTCTGGGAAACTTCTTGGGCCGTCTTGGGGCGGTCTTGGGCGCCTCTTGGGCCGTCCTGTAACGTCGGAAAGCCCAAAAGGCGACTTTGTTAAAAATGTACGTTTTACGAAGGGAATGGGCCAATTCTTGCGTCTAGGGGCCCTCTTGGGACGCATGTTGGAGGCTTCTTGGAGCCTCTTGGGGGCGTCCTTGGACGTCTGGGGTCTCCTGGGGCCTCTTGAGGGGCCTCCTGGGGGCCTCCTGGCGGCCTCTTGGGGCGGAAGGCTCGAGCTTGCGGTTCGTGGTCCCCCTCTGGGCCCCCTCTTGGGCCCGTCTTGGGGCCCTCTTGGGCCATCTTGGGCGCCTCTTGGGCCGTCTTGGGGCCCTCTTGGGCTGTCCTGGGGCCCTCTTGGAAGCTTCTTGGGCCGTCTTGGGGCGGTCTTGGGCGCCTCTTGGGCCGTCCTGTAACGTCGGAAAGCCCAAAAGACAACTTTGTTGAAAATGTACGTTTTACGAAGGGAATGGGCCAATTTTTGCGTCTAGGGGCCCTCTTGGGACGCATGTTGGAGGCTTCTTGGGGCCTCTTGGGGGCGTCCTTGGACGTCTGGGGTCTCCTGGGGCCTCTTGAGGGGCCTCCTGGGGGCCTCCTGGCGGCCTCTTGGGGCGGAAGGCTCGAGCTTGCGGTTCGTGGTCCCCCTCTGGGCCCCCTCTTGGGCCCGTCTTGGGGCCCTCTTGGGCCATCTTGGGCGCCTCTTGGGCCGTCTTGGGGCCCTCTTGGGCTGTCCTGGGGCCCTCTGGGAAGCTTCTTGGGCCGTCTTGGGGCGGTCTTGGGCGCCTCTTGGGCCGTCCTGTAACGTCGGAAAGCCCAAAAGGCGACTTTGTTAAAAATGTACGTTTTACGAAGGGAATGGGCCAATTCTTGCGTCTAGGGGCCCTCTTGGGACGCATGTTGGAGGCTTCTTGGGGCCTCTTGGGGGCGTCCTTGGACGTCTGGGGTCTCCTGGGGCCTCTTGAGGGGCCTCCTGGGGGCCTCCTGGCGGCCTCTTGGGGCGGAAGGCTCGAGCTTGCGGTTCGTGGTCCCCCTCTGGGCCCCCTCTTGGGCCCGTCTTGGGGCCCTCTTGGGCCATCTTGGGCGCCTCTTGGGCCGTCTTGGGGCCCTCTTGGGCTGTCCTGGGGCCCTCTTGGAAGCTTCTTGGGCCGTCTTGGGGCGGTCTTGGGCGCCTCTTGGGCCGTCCTGTAACGTCGGAAAGCCCAAAAGACAACTTTGTTGAAAATGTACGTTTTACGAAGGGAATGGGCCAATTTTTGCGTCTAGGGGCCCTCTTGGGACGCATGTTGGAGGCTTCTTGGGGCCTCTTGGGGGCGTCCTTGGACGTCTGGAGGCCATCTTCAGCATCTCGGAGCCCTCTTGGAGGCCTCTTGGAAGTTTCTTGGGCCGTCTTGGGCGCTTCTTGGGCCGTCTTGTCTGACTGGGGAGGCCTCCGGCAAGCCCCGACGAGCCTCCGGGCCCCCCAGGGCTCACATTTGTGGTCGGGGTCCCGGCCCCGGGCCCCCGGACCCGGTGCGCCGTTATATGTATACGCGCTTTTACGCAGGCGGGGGCGGTGGACATAGATGGGCCCCCGATCTTGGGGCCTCTTGAGGACCTCGTGGAGCCTCTTGTGCCCCGGACCCAAAGGGGGGTCCGAGGTTCCAGCTGTTGGACCCCAAGATCGTTCCCCCGGTAAATGTGTGTAGAGAGAAAGAGGGAGAGTGAGAGAGAGAGAAAGAGAGAAAGAGAGACACAGAGACAAGCCCTGGCGGCCGAAGCGGGGGAAGGATGCCCTGCCTGAAAACACCCACCCGGTGATGGCAGCTCATGCCCGCCTGTCATCGCAGACGGTTCACAGATATGTGGAAAAATGGAACACCCCTGCGCTTGATTCGGCCTGGATGGAACGAAGCTTTGGCAGGCGAGCCGCTGCACAATGTGGAGTCCGTCTCTCGACTCCTGCTGTGGCAGCGTCCCGCGTCATGTGTAACGACAGCCCCTCTGGACGCCTGGGATTCCACGGCAGGGCCCCCGCGGGCAGCCAACCGGCGGGGCGGGGCGGCTGCCGATGGGCCCTGGGTGCGGGCCGGTGCCGCTGGCAGCCGCCCGGCGCCCAGCGCCTGGTCGGCGCGAGCCTCGCTGGCCGCCTCCTGCCGCGCTGAATCCTGTTCTTTGATGCGATTCCGGCAGGCTTCTCGCATGAAGAGGGCTCCCAGGCGAGCCCCCTCAAAGCTGAAGGTTACGCGCGCCGAAAGTTGCCTGCGCGCTCTTTCGGCCCAGTGCTGGGCGAGCGGGATCGGCGGGGGGCGGAGGGGGGCGGGAGGGAAGGGGAGGTGAGGGAGGGGAGGAGGGGGGAGGCAAGTTAGGCGCGCTCGCGCCTCATTTGACGTCCTTCCCCTCCCTCCCATCTCTTCCCATGGCGCTGATGTTTCATTATCCGCGGACGCGTATCATAGCCGACCTGCGACTCCCACAGAAAGACCACTTCGTGGAATACGCAACCAGAAAAAAAGGAAGAAATGCGTGGGAGGAGGAGGAGGAGGAGGAGGAGGAGGTGGCGGGTGAGCAGGAGGATGAGCAGGAAAAAGGATGCGGACGAAAAGCAGCAGCAGCAGCAGCAGCAGCAGCAGCAGCAGGACCTGAAGCGGCAACACAGGAAAGAAAAGAGGACCAGGGGAAGGTGGAGGAGGGGAAATAATGGGGGCGGCCACGATGGAGAAAGGCTCGGAGTTAGGAAAGTGGCCCTCGCTGGGGCGAGACGAACGGCAGCAGCAGAAACTGAACTGGAAGGAGCGGGGGGAACAGGAGGACCAGGAGAAGGCGGAGGAGAGGAAATGAGGCGGGGACCACAATGAAGCTAGACTCGGATCCAGAAAAATGGCCCGCGCTGGGGCGAGAGTGCCACTCTGAACGACGGAAGCAAAGCGCCGATCCGAAAATGAGGCCCAAGCTGCAGCGGGAGCACCATTATGAATTACCAGAGAAAATCGGGCATGCAGCAAAACATGGGAAACAGCAGTGCTTGAAATCCTGGGCGCGAATAAAACAGGACGCGGAGGGGGACGGGCTATTGTTTTACGTTGTTCGGGGAGAAGAGGAGTGAAGGATTCATATGGTGTAAGTGCGGAGGGGGGGTGGGTGAGGGAGGGGAAGGCAAGCTAGGTGCGCAAGCGTCTTATTCGATGTCCTACCCCTCCCTCCGATCCCTTACCATGGCGTAGATCTCCTCGCTATTCGCGCAGTCGGGTGTCGTGGCATGGCATAGCATTACATGGCAGAAGATGGCGTTTAAGATCAACGCGTAGAATGACATAGCCTGGTGTGGCACTGCGTAGTGAAGCACTGCATATCATAGCATTGCAGCTAAAGGCATGGCATCGCACAGCGGAACACACCATAGCACTGCATTGCATGCCATGCTCAGGAGCACGATTCGGCCAGCACTGCAGCGGGAGAATGATTGGAAACGAGCGGAAGCGCGGAAATGAGGTCAGCGCTGCAGCGGGAGCACGTGTTGGAACGAGCAGAAACCCGAAAATGAGACCAGCGCTGTAGCGGGAGCAACATTTTGAAGGACCAAAAAGAAACGGATGTGTAAAAAAAAAACATATGAAAGACCAACTCGCCGGAATCCTGTGTAAAAAACAATACGCGGAACGGGGCGGAACATCTTCCAGACAGAGTCAGGGGAGAGAGGAGAGTAGTATTCATATCGTGCAATTGTGGAGGGGGGAAGGGGGGGAAGGGGAGGGGGGAAAGAGGGGGAGAGTGGAGGGGAGGTGGGGGGAGAAAGGACCCTCGACCTCCACCTCCCTCACCTTTCGGACGGTAGATGCCGCACAGCGGCCGCCGCCAGCACGGCCGCAGTGGCGGCCGCCGTCGAGGCCGCAGCGGCGGTCTCGGCGGTCGCCGCGGCCGCTCCGCGGCGGCACCTGCTGTGCGGAAGGTTCGGAGGGTGGAGGTCGAGGGGAGGGAGGAGGGGAGGGAGGCGGGGGCAAAATGCCGGGCAAATCGGCCTGCCAGACTCTCAACAAAGCCACGTTCCTCCCGGGACCGGCGCCAGCGCCGCGCGGCCCCTCGCCGCAGCCACGGGCCCCGGCGCCGCCTCGGCGGCGGCGGCCTGTCGGACACGCGCAGGAGCGACCCCGGCGCAGCGGTGGCCCCCTGGGCGGCTCGAAGGAGGAGGCCCCGAGGGACGGGGCCCGAGGGACGAGGCGCCTCAAACATTATGAATCCAGCCTGAGATCCCTTTCTGACACTGCGGCCCCGTCCCTCAGGGCCCCAATCCGACGCCCGCCCAGCCGATCGCTGCCCGCGACGCGGCAGCAGCGGCCTCAGCGCGCGGGCCCCCCCCTTCCGCGCCCCCCGAAAGCCGCGCACCGAGGGTCGCTCTCGCAGAGGGGTCACTCTTGCGTGCCGTCGAGCCTGCTCTGGATCGTGCGGCGCCTTGCGGCCAATGACGACATCCTCGACCTGGAGCTGGAACGGCTGCGCGATGAGTGTCGCCGCCAGGCCCCTCTGCCCGTTTGCCTCGCTCTGGCTCCAGAGCCGCAGAAGGGCACCAAGGGCATCGTCGGTGAGCTCTTGCACCTTCCCCTGCGGCTCCCCTGCCTTGCCGCCCGCTGGCGCCGCCTGTGCGGGCTCCTGCCAGCCCGCGGGCCCAGGGGGCTCAGCAGCCTCGTCGGTGCACGAGGAGTCGGAGCCTGCGAGGGTCTCGTCAACCGGGGCGGCGCCTGGTCCACGCCGAACCCATGGCGGCATGCCCGGGGGCGCCGCGAGGCCAGGCGGGGGCCAAAAGCCCTCTGGAAGCTCGAGGATGGCCCCGCTCGTCCGGATCACTCCGCCCCGCGCCCCGGGCGGCATGCCCGGGGGCGCCGCGAGGCCAGGCGGGGGCCAAAAGCCCTCTGGAAGCTCGAGGATGGCCCCGCTCGTCCGGATCACTCCGACCCGCGCCCCGGGCTCCACTGGCAGCGGGCTGCCCTCCTCCGTGCGGCTGCCGCCCGATCCGCAGCACAAGCTGGGATACCCCTGCTGCCTGGCGTCGACAGCGGGCGGGCTCCGCGGCTCCTGCGCGGCCTGGATGCGCTCCTCCTCGAGGTGCTCCCTGGTGCCGCCCGCTGGCGCCGCCTGTGCGGGAGATAAAGTGTTATTGCGGCCCGTTGGTTGTTACTGCGGCCCGGTGGGTGTTAGTATGGCCAGGGGTCCTCCGGAGTGTATTAATTATCGAATACGGTGAAGGGGGGGGGGCTTCAAAAAGGCTCCGCCCCCCCCCCTTCACCGAAGAGCCTCTCGGAAGCGCCTCTGGTGCTCTCCGAAGAGCCTCTTGAAGCCGCCGAAGACCTTCTTGCAGCCGCGTAAGAGCCTCTTGGGCTCTCCGAAGAGCCTCGTGGGGCCTCCGAAGGGCCTCCTGGGGCATCCGAAGCGCTTCTTGGGCTCGCCGAAGAGCCTGTTAGGCTCTCCGGACTACTATCACTACTACTACTACTACTACTACTACTACCACCACCACCACCACCACCACCACCACC